CTACTAATATAAATAAATTCGGATTTCAGTGCCTGAACAAAACCTGCATCTGCCACTGTCCACTTATGTCTTCTTGGTCAATGTGATTTCCACTCTAACCCGTCTCCATAACGTCTTACATTTGGACTATACTTCTGCATCCGATCCACACCCAAAATCATGGCATTGCCTCTGTAACAACCCAATTTAGGGGCTAAATTTTAGAAATTATAAAGTTGTGATTTTAATTGGTATTTTGGAAGAAAATTAAGGATTAAATTGTAAAATCGTAAAGTTGACAGACCATTTTAAGAAGTGCAGAAAGTTCAGTGGCTAAACTCATAGTTTAACAATTTTTCTTTATGAGAGAATTATAAACTCTCTCTCCCGTGTTGCAGATTGTATTTTTCCAGTTTTCCTCTTCCCCTCAACCCCTCTTTGAACTCCGATCTACTCACCGTCTATCGTTCGATCGACGAACCGAAACCACCATCGTGTTCATTATCAACCGATGAACAAAACCCCTCAAACCTTTCGTTATGAATCGTCATCGTTCGCCGTTAATTTTAGTTGGAAGTATCGTCGGTTTTAACTCGATTTCAGTTGGTTTTTCGTCGATTCACGACGATCCGACCATCCGTTTTCGACACCTCCCGCACCATCGTGTTCCTTGTGCTTTTTCGAGTCTGTCGGTGTCCTCATTATCTCCGTCGGCGGTGACACGTGAGGAGGTGAAGCGGTCAAAGTTTCAGATTTGTTGAAATCGAGCTCACCACTATTCAAAATTGTGAACCGAGCTTTGTAAGTGAGTCAAAATCACTTAAAATAATATTTAGGAATTTTTCTATATCGTATCACTGTTCACGCGCCACCCCCCTGAGAGTGGGCATCGTCTCGCCGTAGGGTGTTAATTTTGTAATTAAATTCTGTTTGGGTTCTATTTGTGTAAAAACGCGGGTGTTAGTTTTGTAAATATTTGTAGAAGGTGACTAATTTTGTAATTAATTTCGGTTAGGGTGATATTCGTATAAAACGGTCGATTGTTGACCGTTGACATGCGTTGACCGTTGACCGGCGTTGACCACTGTTAACCAGAACTTTGACCGGCGTTGACCGGGCGTTAAACAAACTTTGACCGAGTATACCAATCCTGACGTTTTTCAACGTTCTGAATCCGATTCGATCCGTTTTTTCAAATTAAGCTTCGTTTTTATGAAATTTCTGTTGATATATATCTGAGGAATTATTGGAAGATGATTTCAAGATCGAGGGCGTTCGAATAGAATTTAATGGTCGATCAGTATTGCACAGAAATTGAGGTAATACATTAATACCTCTTTATGCTCTATAGAACATGTTAGTATTGGTAAATGCATTAATAAAAATGTTTGGTCTCATATGTGTAATTAATGAAGTTATACACTCGATACGAATGCGGTAGAAAGTAGGTAACTGAATATGGCTCAGATGACTATTATAAGAAATTGGAGGACAGTTGGAATTAAATTACAAGTTCTGGAATTAAGTGATAAAGGAATCAGCCATGGATATGTAGATTATAATTTATCTCATTAAAGGTACTTAGATGATAAATTATGAGAATATTTCGATTAGGAAAAATTATGAAATTGCCCTTATGTTAAAAAAATGACAAGAATTGTCTCTGGAAGTTGGTTAATAACTCTGAAAAGACATATTGATCTGATAAAAGTAATGATGTTCATAAGAAATGCTAGTTTTGCTTAGGAAATGCGGATAACCGATTTTTAAACTTAAGAGGGTTTGTGCAAGATACTAGAAGTCTGTTAAGGAATCATTTCAAGATCAGAGAATGTTCGGGAAAGCAATTAATCATAGGATCTCTAAATTATAGTTATTTTTGTAAAGAGTTGCCGAAACTATTTGATTAAGAAATTACGAAAATACCCTTGAAAGGTAAAAATAGTCCGAGTTGACCCGAAATGAGAAAATACTTTGAGGATTTGTACTTAACTCAATAAATTACGGATTTAATTGTTAAGATATTGTCATTGAATAGAAAATTCCTGATAACCTGTTGGTAACTTCCAAGAAGATAATTGACCTAAAAATCTCCGAGCTAAGCATAAATTATTGAGGGTGCTCTTTTTCAGAATTGTTCGAAAAAACTGGAAAAGATACGTTTAAATTAAATAATAAGTTCAGGAGGAAAGAAATGATTGAAATACATTGGATCAGTAAAATGACCAAAATACCCTTGTAATGGAAATAACTGAAGAATATCACCAAGCCCAAGAATAAATGGATATCCTCAAGCTTTGAAATGAATGAAAACATGTTGAGCACCAAAATGCCCTTATGGACTAGATTAAGTGGATGTCTTGGATTAATTAAGGAATCCAAATAAGTATAGGTGTTGGACTACCTTTAAAAGTTATGGAACACAACTTAAGTGAGTCAATCAACCTTAATGATATGTCAACACCTAAACGACATAGATATTACTTGAATGCGTGTTCGTTTTCTCAAGTATGGCTTGATGATAATTTTGGAAGTATTCAGCTCAGCTAAACTCTAGATTGCATTCGATATTAAGAAGTGTATATTCATTAGACAAATCAACTACGACTACCAAATTGAATTGAACAGAAGTATAATATGTATTTGAAATTCAGAAATGTCTGAATTAATATGGAAAACCCCGAAGTAACTGTAAAAGACTTGACTGCTAAATGAACTAAGTAACCTCAAGGACTGATGATTAAGTAAGAGATTGGAATAAGTTTGGAAACTCGGATGAACTTACGTGATGAATCATCCCTATGGATTATGAACCATAAATCAAGTACGTCAACATTTCCTGATATAGTTGAAACATGGAAATGAAATAAAGACCATTAGAATATTTGTTCGTCTCCTTAAGATCTGTTCAGTGATGACTCAGAAGATGATATATGGATAAGAATATTTGGTATTAAAGAGTCAATACCCTGGAAGGTTAATGAATTGACAAGTTGACAAGTATTAGTTCTGGGAGTTATTCATCTGAAGTTGTTTGATAATCCAATCAATCGACATAGATTGTAAAGGTTCTGAATCTTAGTTCTTCATTATCAGCTCAAGTCACATTCTGAATAACTGATGATTCCATCAGTTATTGAACTCTTCCAATAGTGATTTTAAATTCAGACATTTTTATCAGTATACTGAAAATCCGTGTATCTCTGCCTGTTAAGATTATCCTGTACCTCTGAATAATATCTGTAAACTCTGGTGTATTCCCTAATCACATGAATATTTTATCTGATTTCTGATTTGAATTCTGTTATGATACCTGACATGGATTCTGATATGATACTTGATCTGAACTATATTTTGATTTTTGATATATCCGTTTACGGATGGAACATGTTTATTGGGGGTATAGTTGGAGGAAGAATACTTGCAGGTTCCTCGGCTTTGTACTGAGAGCCTTATTGTTCGTGACAGGGTTGAATACTTGCAGGTTCCTCGGCTTTGTGTTGAGAGCCTTACTATTCGTGACGGGGTTGAATACTTGCAGGTTCATTGGCTTTGTGCTCAGGGCCTTACTGTTTGTGACGGGGTTGGATGGTTATGGAGAACTTACACATTTTGTTCGTGATGGATGGGGAAATTACTATGATTTTTTAATTTTAAAAAAAATATGTTTTAAAAAGATCTGTATCTTTTCACTGGTTTTGAGGTAACACATTAGATAGCCTATTCTGATCTCCTGAACTCAGTCATCCGAAATATTTCTCTGAACTAAAAGCTCATTGTCCGTTACCACCTGAAATATCAGTAGGATTTCCACTCATCATAGAAATGTGTAGATATATGAACCGATAAGGAAATACATGTTTTTCTGTATCTGCACGTTCTTCAGCATCATTTGGTAGTTCTGTATTATTGAGCTTTCCGAAGCTCACTCTATTACTCACCATTGCAGGTTAAAAGGATTGAACCAGTGCATCTATTGACATCAGTAAAGGAATTCTTTCGGTGTTGCTTGCAGAGTATGATACATGTGATTAGGGGGCATGTAATTGTATTTTGTTTTAAATATGAGTCTGAAAATCTGTTTTATTTATGCATAATGATAAATGACTTTATAAGTTATATGTTTTAATAAAAGTTTTAAATTTTCCGCTATTTTTATGGTGGGTCGCTCTGGTGGCCCTAATGTGACACTCCAGATCAGATCGGGTTACCCGCATCGGTCTGAGGGCATTACAACCTCACATTTGGAGAACCCTAAAGTCATGTTCAAAGTTATCCTTGCATCACCAACCTCATTTGATTGCTCCTGGTTATACTCGATAGTCTTTCACTATTATCCAAGTGATAACTAAGGGATTGGTCTGCACCACCTTGATCCCTTCCTTAGCCCATCTAGGTGTAATAAAATTGTGGGTACTTGCACTGTCGACCAAGATATACTCGGTGGTTTTCCTTGAATTGAGCCCTGAATTCTGACGGTGCTATAACATGCCTTCTCCGTTAATGCATTGATGAACAATGAATTCGTGCCAAGTGACTTATATTTTTCTACATAATATAATCATCGAACTTGAAAAGTTGATCAACAATGAATTCGTGTTAAGTGACTTTATTTTTGTGCATAATATAATCATCGAACTTGAAAAGATAATTATCATGTCATTACGCCGTTAATGATTTAATGTTCATGTGATGAAAAATCAACTTGAAAAGTTTAATGATAAGATTAGCATTTTTTTTATTGTTGAGTGACCAAAACAAGATATTGCTTAAAGTTTAATGACTAAAAATATTTTATCTTTTACCCCTTCAAATTAATTAGGAAAATTTAGCAAATGATAATAGAGATTATTATATTGATGTTTTAATGTTTATTTTAAATTCAAAATCTGAAAATCAGCATGAAAATAAATTTCTAATGTTTTAAAATTATTTTAATTTAAATGGGCCGGCGTGAAGTTTGAATACATTGGCTATACCCGTGGGTCATGGTTTGGTTTAACTATACAGATATCATCTCTTCGAATTAGGGTTACTGCTTCCATTCAATTGCTTTGATATCTTCCCCAATTCATGATCACTCTCAAGAATTTTTAGTGGTACGTTTCTCATTCCTTCACCTTTCTCTCGATCATATTCTCTTGAATCTATCTACTGCCTCTCTTTACTTTCCTTATTGAATTTCGATTGTTTCGATTCCCTTTTTGTTAACTTAAAATATCTTTTTTAAAGGATTCGCTTTTTCGATTATACTTGCTATCATTTTGAGGTTTAATGAACGATTAATATGCGTAAATACCAATTAATTTTACCATCTCGCTTAATTTTAGTAGATATGGTTGTCGCATCTGGAATAATTGCGTGGTTCCTTTTCATATAATATTAGAAATCATGATGGGCTTTCTGGTTCTTAATCTGATTTTCCTTTTGTGTGCATTCTTTCTTAAAATCTGATGATGTTAATTTTGGACGGAATAGGGTTATGATTTAAGACAGTTTGTGTGGGTTATTCTTGTGTTGACAGTGTGGGGAGTTTCGCTATGGAGATACAGACATGTGGTAAGCCGATTGATTCGTTGTTGGAGAAAGTGCTTTGTATGAATATACTATCCTCTGATTATTTCAAAGAGCTTTACCGTTTAAAGACTTATCATGAAGTCATTGATGAAATTTACAATCAAGTTGATCATGTTGAGCCATGGATGACTGGGAACTGTCGTGGTCCTTCTACTGCATTCTGCCTTCTTTACAAGTTTTTCACCATGAAACTTACTGTCAAGCAAATGCATGGGATACTGAAGCACTCTGATTCTCCTTACATTAGAGCAGTAAGTTGAATCTTTCATGTTTATCTTCTCAAGTTTTTTTCAACCATGTAGAAATCCTTTGTTCTCAGGAAGGATAGATTGCTTTTTCACCGTTATTTTGCATTTCTTCATGTTTTTTGATCGTTGATGTGTAATGTGGCTGAACCTTCCTATTAAACCAGATTCCTTGCTATCTGGTTTCTTGAAATTATTCATGTTATTTTTTTACTTCTTGTTACAGTTTTATTCTTCTCATTTTCCAGTTCTTCTGCAGTTTTAATTTGTATACATCAGTCTATGGTTGAGGTTATGCTTTTAGCACTTAACCATATTAGTCAATGCCTTAAAATTATGGTTGCAGATTGGATTCCTCTACTTGAGGTATGCTGGTGATCCAAAGACTTTATGGACTTGGTTTGAACCATACATTAAAGATGAAGAGGTACTAGATGTTTTGACTGCTAAATTGTTGTGGTACCTTGAATTTGTAGTGTGGTATAATCTTTATGAATACTATATCATTTACTTTTATGGTATGCATTGTATAAATTTTAATTTCTGTACAGGTTAGAAAATCTCTATTTCCCACAATTTTCCCCCAAATACGGCATTAGTATTTTTCTTAATCATCAAATCTTTCTATTAGTATTGGTTGATATTTGATGTTAAGTTACTCTATAAAAGACCTTAGGTCCATTTTGCTCTAGTCTTGCAGATTGTAGTATGCTGAACTATTTTCCTTTATTCATTGGTTTGAGTGCCATCATGTCTTGTAATTTGTTTAATGAGCAGTTTTATGTTAAAGTAAATATTTATCTCATGGCTATCTATTTCCTTGACATTCACGCATTTACTGCAGCAACTGAGAATAGGTTGACTAGTTAATGCAGCTAAGCTCAATGGATAGATTAAACCAAGCCATCTCTAGTTTGTCATCATTTCCTATATCGTAACTCATAAATTCTATACTCTTTATTTTGCAGACACTTGTCTAGAAATATATCTTTCTTCCTTTGCCCCCACCCAATTTTAGCATGAAAACCTTGTTTCAATAAATTGAAGGTTAAAAAGACCATATATAATTTTTTTTACAAATGATTATTCAATTTTGACCCCCCTTTATTTTAACATATGGAACTTTGTTTATGTTATGAGTGCAAGTTGAAATCGTCATATCTTATTTCAGGAATTCTCCCCTGGGTCTAGTGGACGAACGACCACCATGGGGGTATACTTGCGTGATTTGCTTCTTGGACAGGTTAGAGCAAATATTCAATATGCTTTGTTATACAGATAATGTTTTCCCTGCTTTTCACATGTCAACTTGAACCATCTTTTATTGAGAAATGGTCAACCTTTTAATTTTGACTTATTTAAATTTTGTAAGCATATCATTCAAAAAGGAATTTTTTTATGGCTTGTTAAAATATGCGTCTAATTTATGGTAACTTCTCTCCTGGTAAGGACTGGTGCTACACTTTATATTTGTGATCCCCCGTAATAAATCAACCAGATATTTCATTTAATGTTATTCTTCTATCTGCAGGTCTTAAAAATAATAAAAATGTTTTCTTCCCTCTTTCTCAATTCTAAACCTTTTGAAATATACCTGCTTAAGATGATATGCATATCTGAGGAATTCCTTATATATTGTGGATGAGTATGTGCAAGTTTGTCTGGACAGTTTGTTAGTGGCACAAATGGAATGTTATTTATGAGAGTTTGTCAACTTATTAGCTATTGCAGACAGTACAAAGTAGCATTCCATGTTAAATCTACCAAAATTTACGCAAAAAACCATTTGAAGTCTATCTAACATTATAGAAGAAATTTGGGATGATATTTGAAGAAATTCTTCGAAAAGCAGTAGCGCAGAACATGATTAGTCTAATTAGTATTTTCCTGATTGATCCTGTAATGAAGACGTAAATGCAAGATAACCTTTATGCTATTTGCATTCATGATTGGCAAAGAATTTCTGGACAACCAGATTTTTGCTCTTGCTGCTATTGTATGTTCAAAGAAGGTAGTATTTCTCAGTCTGTCCCTCACTGTAACCTTTTATCTGTTGTTTTTTCTTTTTTATTTTCAATGCATTTCATTGGTTTGCAGCGACAGCGCAGGCCGAATGCATGCTTCTTTGACTCTTTCTGGGTTGGAACTTGAAGCACAGCCTAGAACTTCCTTCTGTATAGGGTCTGATACTTAACAGAAAGTCATCATTTAGATCGTTACTAAGTGTACTACTGTAAGCTCGGTATTCTTAGAGTTTGTTTTCCTTGGTTGAGTTGAATGCCAGGTTATTTGTCTGTCTTTTGGTCATTTGTCTTGGATTTTATGTCAAAGATAAACAAGATTTGTAGACTGTTTCTGGACTTCGTTTGGGCTTGTGTGTTTTCTTTTCGTTTTGTTTGTTTTCATAGAGGGAAAAAAAGTTGACCGTGATTTTCTTGTTGCAGTACTACTTTGATACTCTTTTCCCTCGAATCCCTGTTCCTGTGTTGCGTCAGGTTGTATCCAATCTTGAGAAGATGAAGCTGCCTACTAAGACTTCTGGTTCAACAGGGGATAATAGTCGCCATGGATCTGATGACACTGCTCGCCGCCCGCCTTCTGTAAAAGCTGCACTTTCTGTCTCTTTTGGTCAGCGTGCCCCCCATCGGGCAACAACCAGGGACTCTTCTCCTGTGCGTCGCACTCTACCACCACCACCACCTTATGACAGATCCAATGGTGATGATGTAAGAAGATCTCCCAGCCACCGTCACAGCCAAAGCCGTGATAGGGAATATTCTGACAAGGATAGGGAAAGGGAAAGAGAGAGGGGCAGGGAACAAGACCGGGATTGGGATCGTGACCGTGATAGGCAACGAGATAGAAGCAGGGACCGATATCGTGACCGTGATCGTAATAGGGACAGGGACAGGGATAGGGAACAAAGGCATGATTATGATCGAAGGTCAAGGTACATGGATAAACGGGACACTGATGACAGTAGGCGTTACAGGAGCAGAAGCCGAGACATCGATGACGGTAGACGTTACAGGAGCAGAAGCCGAAGTCCCAGCATGAGCGGAAACAGGAGCAGAAGCCAGAGTGAGCAAGGCGGCAACAGTCATTATGATCCACCACAAAAGGAGGGAAGCAAGGCATCCAGTAATTTGGCGAAGCTGAGGGATCTTTACGGTGATACAAGTGATACAAAGGGAGATGGCGGTGGCTATGGAAGGGCAGCAAACAGGGACAGCAGTGGAGAAGAGGTGATTAGACTAGGTGGTTCTTCTTGGAGATAGTGCATTGGCATGTATGTATGTTATTCCATTCATGCAGAGCACCAAACCAATTCAGGCAAGAAAAAGAAAAAGAAAAACACTGGGTGAACATTTTGTTTCTGAACATTGTGCTATGCCCTGGCTAGGATGGATGGATAGATGCAATCATGGTCTCGCCATTATATGACGACTGGCATAACATGTATACTATTGTTTCAGTAATTTGTTAAATTTGAAGCTCAGATAATTCAAACATTAAACTGCAAATTATCTATTCTTGCTTATTTAAATTGAGAACATTCTCTCCTCCTTGGTTTTCAAAAGCGTGCCTAAGACGCCATCTGCAGGTGGGTGTCGGAAAAATCACCAACGTAGGTAGAGGCGCAGCGCAGAATGGCGGGTACAAGTGTATTCTGTTTTAGGGTTATTTCTTTCTATTTGCTTTGCTTTCCTGCACTCTTTATTGAAGCTCAATTGCTGTGCGTTAGCGCATTGCACATAGACAGCGTATAATTATTTTCTTTATTAAAGTCAATAAATGCTAGGTTGACTTTTCCCAAAAAAAAAATATTTAATACATGGTCCCTTATTATGCAGTACAACTGTAGCATATAGTATTCATGTTTTCCCCATCTGTCATTCTTTTGAAATAATTTTATTTTTGTTTATATTATTGATTTTTTTTTATATTTATAGAGTTTTATTTATTTATTTTAAATTTCGATTTGTTCAAAAATGAATGTGGGGTCAGCTTCCACAGGATGTCAAACTCTTTAGATTCAGCAAGAAAATATAAAAAATAAGAACTTACAAATAAGAACAAAATATGTTTTTGAGTACATAATATGTTGTATAATTGATTTACAGATGTCTTAAAATAAAAATGTATCTTGCCTATAAAAGGTGTACATTTTCGTTCAGTGCCTTAGACTCCAAATTTTTTTTCAGTTCATTCATAGGAAAAAAAATCACTTGCATGACCATAGATTCCACAATTATAATATATTGTTAGAAGAGATTCATATTCAACGATCTGAGCATAATTGTTAATTGTTAATTTAGAGACCAGAGGCTTCTTAAGATTGATAGTAATTGTCATATGGGCAAAACGTCCTTGCCGGCCATGATCGATTTAGTAATCTATTTTAACAACGAATTCAGTTCTCACTCCAATTGCTTCGATCATATTATGTTTACACCAAGTGATAGATAGTCCCGAAAGTTGAACTCAAGCCGTAATTCGACTAGGGTGTATCTAGGAAGGGCTAAAATCAGTTGACGATGACTTAACTGTGAGATAATGACCAAAGATTGTCTACGGACCTTGAGAACATCACTATGAGCAGAGAATTTAACCAGGAATTGATCGTTCTCAATATTAACAAGTTTCAAAAGGATGCGAGGGCTTCCAAATACTCATAACAGGGCTATAGAGAGTGTTGTATCCAATTCTTCTTCCAAGAACTTTCACAACCAGAGTTAAATTCATACTCTCAAGAGCCTGCGCTTGGATGCGATCTGGAAAATCGATAAAAGAGACTCCATCGATCTTACCAACGATCACATTATCTTTCATTTATTCTATATCATCATCATCATCATCATCCAATGGAAAGATTTCTTCATGTGGTGTTCTTCCGTAGGAACATCAACAACCTTATCTTTGTAAGATACTAGGATTTTATTTGACTTAAGATCTAACCTGTTTTTTTTTTATGTAAAATTTTACCCTTGATTCGATTCTTACTTTGCTTAAGAAATCTAGTGTCTCATCCTATTAGACTAACTGATTATAAGTATAACCTCTCACTATTTAGTCAATGTGTACATTATGTTTCATAGACTTAATTATGTTATAATTTCATTTTTCATATAAGATTTCATTTCTATCTTTTATTTTTTTAAAAATTGTACGCATATTTTGTTTGTATTAATTATATATATACTTTATAATACAATAAAATTATATGAAATAAATTATATAAGCTAATAAACAAATAACATCTAGTTAATATAATTTTTATTAGATATGTATTATTATCATATTTTTGTTATAATATAACACAATTACTTACATGTTAAATTGTAATATACAATATAGCATTACATAATAAAATAATACACATTAGAATATTGTAATGTATAAAATACTTATAATTAATTATATTACACGTATTTTTCTTTTTCTTTTCTTACATTGCAAGTTTTTCTTTTCTTTTTTTTTTTAAATTTCCAATAAATTTACCTCTATAACACGTTTTCACTTATCTTTATAGCACGTCTCGATTGATCAATATAACACTTCTTTATTGTCCTAATGATTTTTCCTGGATTTGGATATACAATTTATATTCGAAGATGGTTTCTTTATAATGTCCAATTCCAATTTACAATTATCAATAGCCTCTCAATAATTTAATCTCTGTTTTCAATAGTTTTCATCGTACTCTAGTATTTTCACCATGTACGAAATCATATTATTGGGAAAATAACCGAGTAACGAGTAATTTCCCTATGACCAGATTAGTGAGAATGCGAAATAAAAGCGGAAAATGATATCCGAAATTGATAACGGAGTTCAACCAATTATGCCTACGTCTTCGGACTGCTGCAGATCTTTTACTAAAGAGAAAATTTACACGTGTTTACAAAAACACTTGAGAGAGAGCTAGAATGATTTGGGGATGATTTTGAAGCTAAATGTGTAAGGGTATTTATAGTTGAAGCTTAGGGACTAATCTTTGAAAAAACCCTAAAGTGCAATGACTAAAGTGCAATTTACCCATTTCCATTTTCAACACAAAATCTGTCAACTTTAAAATTGTGCATCGAATTGTGCACCATTCGGTGCCAAACTTTGAACATGCACCGAAGGTGCAACTTTATTTGACTAACAATCTCCCACTTGAAGACTGATTTTAATATGTCTTCACACCTCGATCAATGCAACAATATTTTTGCTCTTGTTACTCTAGCATGCCAACTGAAGCTGAACACAACTTCAGTTTGTCCGTAGTCACCGCCCTGTAAACCCACTTGTTATTGGGTTGTTTCTCCATAGTTGCCTTGTCCCTCAACGTCTTGGCTCCCTTCGACTCTTGTCACTAGTCATTGAAGGATTGTTCCTCACTTGAACATCCTCGGCATGCCCCTTCTTCGACCCTTCTCTTAAGATGGTCTCTGAAGCCATGTTCTCTACACGAACATGCTCGGCAAACTCCTTGGACACGGACAACTCGATCTTTGGCTCATCTATCACCTTTGATGACTCGGCTCCCCTCGGGTAATTTGGCAACACTTCGGCATCTTAAGTCTGCGCCCCCTCGTTTGCTCGACTCTTACCCTCGGCTTAACATCTTTGACACTTGAACTTGTGTCAATACTGCATACATCTTCTCCAGACTCACCATCTGGTTTATCATTGAGTGGATTTTCTCTGCCACTCGAGGAACAATACTCCTCATCATTTGACTTGCCTTAATCATGGATTCGCTTGCCACTACCCTTGTCTTTCGGCTTTGTTTTGGAAGTCTTGTTTTTCTTGACTCCAAATTCTTTGATGGACTCAATGGTTGTCAAGGCTTTGGACAACTCCTTGACTTCCCTTCGCTCCAACACTTTCTTTGCCCACGACTTTAATCCGAACATGAAGGTGAAGAACCCATCTTCTTCAGTCAAACTTGGGACTTTGAGCATGAGTCTTCTAAATCGGCTCACATACTCCTTAAGTGTCTCTTTATGCCTGAGACGCCTCAACTTGGACCACGCCTCCATCCTGACATACTGTGAGCGGACTTGCTCACTTTGCACCCTCGGCTTGACGACTTATCTCTTGCTATCGCACCGGGTCCCTTCTTGTGCTTGACTGCTTTGACACCCGCAGTCGCGTCATGTCTCAATCTTGGATTGACTACTTGAGAACTTGTAGTCGCACCATGTCTTGTTCCTTGCTTGGCCGCATTGATCCCCTCAATCGTACCAAGTCTTTTCCCTGACTTGGTAGCTTTAACACTTGCAACAACGTCAATTCCCGCTACTTCTCCTTCTCCCATCCTCTTCATGATGGTTGTGAGACGACGCTTCTCGGGACATCTTCTAATCAAATGAGGACCATCACAGAAGTAGCACTTCAATTTTTCCTTGTTCCCCTTCTTCTTCACACTGGACTTAGCCTTGCCATTTTTTCCCGATGGCTTTCATTGGCTACGAACAGTCGATGGCTCACATTGGCCATTCGAAGAGCTTTCTCCACCATCTCCATGCTGCACCTTTTCCTGGTCTCCACCACTGTTGCCACTATCTCTGGGCATGGGCCTGGACGACACATCGCTACTTGGTTTGTCACTTGCAAGCTCAGTCAGCTTTCGGGTTACAGCTATGCCTCTTAAAGTCTCTGGGCATCACTTTGCTCTCTCCCGAGCATCGCCCCTGGTCTAAGTCCTTCCAATAAGATCTTGAGCGCATCTCATTCACTCATTGCTCCCTTGCATATGAGCAGCTCCCTCTTGAGCTCATCAACTTCGTTTCTCAAAGCATCGCTCCCACTCGAATCTGACTTCTTTGGATCGTTTCTGACAATTCTTGCGAACCACCGTGTATTAAAACACCTCCGTCAACAAATTCGTATCACCGACCAAATTTTACTATTCACGAAATTTACTATTCACAAAATTTACTATTTATGTAAATAGTAACCTCACAAAAAATTGACAAAATTCACAACCAAAAGCTCTAATACCAGTTGTTGGGAAAATAACCTAGTAACGAGTAATTTCCCTATAACCAGATTAATGAGAATGCGAAATAAAAGTTGAAAAATGATACCCGAAATTGATAACGGAGTTCAACCAATTATGCCTACGTCTCCGTACTGCTGTAGATCTTTTACTAAAAAGAAAATTTATACGTGTTTACAAAAACACTTAAGAGAGAGCTAGAATGATTTAGGGATGATTTTGAAGCTAAATAGGTAAGGGTATTTATAGTTGAAGCTTAGGGACTAATCTTTAAAAATACCCTAAAGTGCAATGACGAAAGTACAATTTACCCATTTCCATTTTCAACACAAAATCTGTCAACTTTGAAATTGTGCACCATTCGATGCCAAACTTTGAACATGCACCGAATGGTGCAGCCTTATTTGACTAACAAATTACATGTATCATTTATGATTAATGG